GTACCTGAATCGTTTGCCAACGCCTTCATAAAGTTCCCCGAAAATCAATCTTCGAATGGCGCAAGGACCAGTTCCCTACAGTAATGTAAAGTGGGGTTTCAGACAAAAAAGGCCAAGGCCTAGTACCAGCACCGACTGCTGTTTGTTCACCTGCGTGGATGAGACAATCTGCACGAGCGCAGCGCTGGCCTTCGTGAATATTTCCGCCAACGTGGGAACACACATGCATAATTCATTCTCGGGGAAGTCCGCCAACATCCTGATGGGCATTGCTTGGCGTTTCGCAGGAGGCGTTTGACGGCAGCATCTTTCACGCGATAGCCTCTTGCGGTACACGGAATCAACCTATTCCACAGAGCATCTACAGCAGTCTGATCGCTGTCAAAGCTACCTGTATGCATGAAAAGTACGACTCTTACCAAAACTGAGACAGGCCGAAGTCCTCGGTCACCAACGTGCCCTTCACTCCTTCGGAATCCGCCTCCTCGCCCTTTTGGGGCGCAACAACATCACGGGTAGGTGGGGGATGTTGTTGTCAGTGTAGATCTTTTACGAGAGGTGCACGGGCTGGGCTCTAGTTGTGGCTTCCCATGGGTGAAAACAAGCTGTGGCAACATATCGAGTACCTGCGCGGACAAAGCGTATCTTCGCTATGTGTCAGATCGCTTGGCCAAGTGGTGTGCAGAGGGGGGCCCGGTGAAGTGCAGATTGAATAGTGCAGGTGCCAGGTAAAGTGCAGGTAAAATCTCTGGACACAGACTGCGCCCTCAATAGTGTAGGTGGACACAGACTGCGCCCTCAATAGTGCAGGTTGGGCACCGCGGTGCCCCGCAATAGCGCAGGTTGGACACACACACAAAGACCAACACAACAATCAAGGAGGGAATCATGGCGTGGAAGAGAGCAAGAGCTTCGGACCAGATGACCTTCACCACAACAAACGACGCAGGGCTACCGTAAATAACTGCTGTGCAATTGATGATGAGATGACGGTGGTGAAAGCAAGGAGGATGATGATGGTGAAAGCACTCCAAAACGAACTAGAGTGCAAGGTAGCAGCCATGGTAGACGCGTGCAGTTTTCTTCTGTTGCTACCGCTTCTGTCTTTCGTTCGGAGAATAGCTTAGTCTCCCCCATGCTGCCCCCTCACGAGGTTCCCGTTAATACCATTTTGAAACGCACTGAGACTGACGTATTTTCACTGGTCAGCCGGTTAGCGCGGTCGATGCTAATGATAACAACACACACACACACACACACACATACACACACACGGCTCCCCCATGCTGCCCCCTCACGGGGTTCCAGTTCATGACAGATGTAAGTGTCCGCACTAGGACTGACGTCTTATCATTGGTTAGCCGGTTAGCGTGGTCGATGCAAATTAAAAGGACAACACACGGACAGCGGACAAACGCAACACAGAAACGAGGGTACACGTGCTGCTGCAGACCCGTAGAGCTCTACGCAGAGGTGCATCGTGCCTCGCGCGGACGGTGATCCGGCGATTATTGCAGCGCATTCCGCTAAGCGGGTGCGCCAGGCAGACATGAGGGAATCTGTCGCGTAGTGCGGGCGGAGGGTCAGCTGTTGTAGTGCTTGTTTCTTGCAGTGCGCTTCCTGTCGTGTTCCTCTTGTGGTCTTGGTCTTTTTATCACAAGGACTGAGATTTAGCTTCGTTAGTTACGTCTTAACGTAGAATGGTTGGTTCGCGCGACAGCAGTTCAGGGTGAGGAATACAGTGCGCGTGCTGAGGCAGGTAGAAAATAACGGTGTAACATGCAAGCAATTTTTCTACAACATCTCTGTGTGCGACAGGGGGGCACGACAACGCGTCGCGAGACAGTCTGGTCACGCCCACGCTAGGATAGGGCCCAGTAGACCAATAACCAGAAACGGGTTACCCGGTTACTTCATCACAACTTTAGGGTACATGTAGAAATCAACACACTTGCACCCCCAGGCTGTCAGCTGATTGGCCAAAAAACCGTTGAACCCATCTCGGTAGCAACCTCCATCGGGTACAACTACCGCTGGCATTAGGACCCTCTGGTGTGACCGATATTGGTATCTGGTGTACCCGGAAGAGGTCGATGTTGTACCGAGAAATGGTCATATAATCCCGGCGCCCGACGCTCTAGCATAAAACCCGCAGAAAAAACCGTGTACCGCACACACGGTGTACCGCACATACATACCCACAACCAAACCACCAACAACGCTCGCTCGTTAATGGGCACCATCTCCATAGGATACCGGCTCCTCTCGACAGAGGGTTGGACTCGCTTGACGCGCGAGTTCGTTCGGTGTGGTGCTGATCAGTAAAAGCATACAGAGAGAGAGAGGGAGGCAGCGAGAGCGAGAAAAACGGGCACGACCTGCCTCGTGCATCATGCTTGCGTGGCACAGGACACAGATAGCGGATTATTGGTTTCGCCGCGATCTACGGCGGATGCTTTCGGAGATTGGTGTCGTGTTGATTTCCAAGTGTAACCTGAAATCGTGATAATCCACCCGGGTACACCCGTTTCTGGTTACTTCTCGGCCAAGTGCAATTCGATCCATTTCGTACCCAGTTAGCCCCGCAAATCGTGAGCGCCACACCATGAAGTCAAACATGTCCTCACTAGTGCAGTGAGGGATATCAAAACCTCCGTAGTGCCGAACCTGCACTATTGAGGCACTCTTCGGAGTAGTGGAGGTGCCCGCCATAGTGCAGGTAAAATCTCTGGACGCACCCCTGCACTGTACCGGGCCCCCCTCGTGTTGGGCCGACTCGATTCTTATCCTATAATAGGAGAACAGTGCTAGCGCCGAAAAAGGGTGGCGTTGGAAACATGTTGTCGAAAGCATGCCGGAAACGTGAACCAAGCATTCGGTCGCTGGACACATGCTTTTGCCCAGGTGATGTTCAAACCAGGGACGACTGCTGTACAATGTGAAGGGAGCCTGTGAGCTTGTTTCGTCTCGGGTGTCCCCCTCCCGCGCTACGGGACTGTTCGCTGGCGGGACTGTTAGTTTCCTCACGTTGAACTTTGTACACTAAACACCTACTCATCTGCTCTGCTCGCAGCAGCAAGCTAGATGTGCTAGAGTACAATCTGTGTCAGAACATTGGTGCTCGGGTCGTGTTGCCTGTACCCCTGCGTGTACCTCGTGTTGCGGATCAGGCCAGATGTTCAAACCAAATCTACGCATCAACCAGTCGCCTGTCACCTCAGCCGCGCCCTTCACTGCAAGGTGCGCATTGAGCGCCGCCAAAGTGTCAGCCGACAACGCATCGAGTGTGATCTCAGGAGGCTCGCCATCGCTAGAAGTGCTTGACAACCGGGAGAGAGACATCCTGCGCGTCTGGGGCTGTGAAGGTGTGAATCAAAACAACCTCGTGGATGGATCATGCTCGTCCACCAAGCCGTGAGGGGGGGACCAACTATTCTCTGTGTGCCCCCGCCGTGATCCCCTGTATGTAGATGTCCCACCAATCCCGCCCCCCCCCCCACCAACCCCTAACCCCCATCGGGCGTCTATTATAGATGTTTTGGCACCCCGTGGCTTACCCATTCATTCCCCGCTTGCCCGCGGTTTGTTGTGCCGGGGTGGCTTGATTGCTTATGTTGCTGCCATGTTTTCTGGTCCTCATCGGGAGTATGGAGATATCAACGATATCACACAGCAATCGCGCGACATTCGGAAAGCTCGATGTACCCTTATCTACAGCGAAGAGTGGCGGCGTGTCGAAAATGTCGGCGTTGGAATCGGTCTCGTCTGGAGCTTGCCGAAAACGTATCGTGTTGACATACATCTTCTTCGTCACGGAGTTATCTATCGACCTTCCTCTAAGTTGGTCCAATGGGGGTGTGTGGTATCTCATGTCCCTTACCTGCTGGTCGGGCTCCAGGACGGTGCCCTTAGCGCTACCTCTTGCCCCACAAAGGCGACAAAATGGAGTCGATTCGCGTGCCTGTCGCAAAGGCATTGCTTCACTGCTTCATGATGACAAATCCCTAATATTGCTGCCGTCGACGTCTCTTCACACCACAGCGACCACTTCAGTGTGTGCGTGTTTTCATATATATTTATTATGGCCACAGCAGTCCCCCCATTTTTCGTGGTGAAACGTGTACTACACTCTTCAGCGTATGTAGAGTACTACACTTTTCAGTGTATTTTTTCGTACAACTACAACCATTCAGGGTCACACAGGAGGGGGTAAACACTAGGGCCTTTTTCTTCTTATATTTCTTTTCATGCCCCACCTCCCTCCTGCGGTGCGTGCTGAATTTTATTTTTATCGCGGGAAGGGTTCAGCCGTCCCTTTCCCTCGTCAATGGTGCTAACGTCGAAGTTTGGTACTCACGAGAGCTTGTCAGCTATATATCGCTTTCACCCGCACCTCTCGTAAATTTTTCACCCCATGGGGATTCGAACTCACGACCTCTGCGACTGGCGGACTACGAAGATACCACTAGACCACCGGGGCGACCGGTCGGTGCAGTAGAAGTTTGCTAAGCCTGCAGCGGAGAGCACCCACCGATGAAAAAACTACGCACAGAAAATGTCCTGTTATATTTTGTGCACATCACAAGTGGAGGCGCGGGCGTCGTGTTTTGTGGGGGTGGGAAGGTCCCGTAACATCCAAAAACCGGAACATGCCAGCGAAGCGGCACAAGCGACGACCGGAGGGGAGGCAGCGTCAGCCGTAATCGATGTCTCCTTGGAGTTCAGTGTTGCAAGAAGATCGTCTCGAACAGCTTCGTAATCTCTTATGACTTGCACATCGTTTACATAGTTATCGCTTTTTGCCGTTCACATACCGTATATGACACAAGATAACCCACCCCCTGGACCGATTTTCAAAGCTCAATTTCTCCACGATGAAGAGGATGTATAAACGGAACGATACACTTTCGAAAAGCTCTCGACGAGACGGTTTCAACGCCGCCGTTTTCGGCGCTGTGACTGTTCCGGCAGTTGAGAAATCCAGCTTCGAGAATCGGTCAAGGGGGTGTGTTATCTTGTGCCCGGTATGCGTAGTTGTCATTTGTTGAGAGAAAAAGCTCTTCGACAACGCGTGAGGCTTTCCACACACGTTTCCAAAAGCGGAACAAACCGCTATGCGAAAGATCCCTGTTAACCTCTGCCCGCGCCCCATCAAACGGTGCGCAGCGTGTAGACAGCAACGGCCACAACAACACATCCACAACCGAATAGCCATCGCGAACTACAATAGGCATGCAACGGCCACCACCAACCTCTCTACTCTTTCTCCTCTCAATTGCCCTTTTCCCTTTCCCCTTTGCAATATTCCCGGGCTTGCTCGCTGAGACCGTCAAGGGGCATCCAACGAGGTCACTACAAGCCCGAGCACTTCACGATGGGGCCCTGACGTGTGAACATATCACACCGTTTGCCGGGAAACGAGCGTGCGCATCACGCATCCGGGTCCCCCCTTCTCTAGCACCTGTGCACGAGTTGCACGGCACGGAACGAAAAGAGTAGACAAAATCAACCTATTGGGGGGACACCTGGTGAGCACAACAGCAATAGTGAACAGTATTTGAGCTCTTCCGAACGACAAAAAAAAAACAGCAACAACGCACAATTCGCAAACATCGGAAGAAATGTTGCGATACCGCACACACACTGAAAGCATCGAAAAACCACTACACTACGATGATAGGAGGGAATGAAAGGGGCTACAACGAACAAGCAACCCCCCCCCCCCCCCCCCCCCCCCCCCCCCCCCCCCCCCCCCCCCCCCCCCCCCCCCNCATGGAGCACTCCCCAACCCCCAACGCACCTTTGCGTGCCATTTGAACAGCGGCCCGTTGTTGCGGGGCATCCCCAGGCCCTTGTAGACGTACTTGACGAGGACGTCCATCTCGTCCAAGGAGAGACCGGCCAGGCAGTTCTCGATCTGGTCCTCGCGGACCCCCGTCAGCACCATCAACACGCACTCCATGCTCTTCGCCTGTTCGCGGGGAGGACATGAGATGGGGAGTTGGGTCACTGGTCTATACCCGGGTACGTGTGGGATGGGAAGTTGGGGTCACTGGTCTACACTCGGATACGGGGAGGGTATGAGCAACCGAGACGGGGAGTTGGCTACTGATCTACACCCAAATACGGGGAGGTTATGGGATGGGAGGTTGGGTCACTGGTCCTAAAACCCGCTTCGGACCCGTCGGTGCTGGCTCCAAGATGATGGAACCCGTGGGTGCTCGACCCAGATCCCAAGAAGATGACGGACATGGCGTTTTGACACGTAAATCGAGTGAAACAAGGGGGGTGTCTCACACATGCACCGCCAACGGGATACACGATGCGGTCCATCACGATGCACGTCTAGATAGTTTGAACTTCCTTCCAGATCAACTGTCTGTAGGGGGAAGGCAAGAACGCACAGGTTACGCGTTTGCGACATAAAGACCAACCACAAACTCCCCCCAAGTCGCTGTAATAAATACGAAGACACGACACAAAACCAAAGAGGAAAACTCGTGCATGTGCGCGGACCTTGACGGCTTCGTCCTTGCAGAAGACAGGCGGGTCCTCGAGCGATCTCCGAAGCGCCCCGCCGGGGTCTCTGTGCAGCATCCCCCGCACAGCCGTCTGTCATTCGAACCGACAAGAGAGCTGGGTTAAAGTCACGGCAATACAGGAGGCGGTGCTACATACATAGCACGTGGTCTGCTGAGCATCTGGTCCGTCTTCTACAACGTATTCGAGATGTTCCTTCGTCCGTTCCCAAAACAAACAACGCCCGCCTTCTGAACTGAGCTCCTCTTGGTACACAACAGCAGCGTTCTTGAAAAAACAAGCACGTGCTCTCACCTCTCGTTGCTGCACCTCGCCCATAGCCGCAGGGTCAGACACCGCGCCCGGCACCTTGCTCGGTGCACCCGCGCCCGCTCCTCCGACCGCAGGGGGCTGGTAACCCCCCCCCGAGGCGGCAGCAGGCGGGGGCGGCGAGTACCCCTGCTGCGAGGACGGCGGTGAGGCGCTCCTGTACTGCTGCACCGGCGCCAACGCAGCCGGTGCCGGTGCAGCCACGGGAGGGTTGTACCCTCCCCCTCCCCCGCCGTACTGCGCTGCGGCGGGCGGCTGGTACGTCGCGGCCGGCGCCGGCGCCGGCGGCGACGAGCTGAAGGTAGACCGCAGCCCCGTGTAGGGCTCCGCGGCAGGCTGTGATGACGGCGGGGGCGGGGGCTGGGCCACGGGAGTTACTTTCCGGAGCGCCACTGTGGGCGCGGCCGGCGGGATGTGCGCGGCCGGCGTGTAGGACGGGATCGCCGGGGCAGGGGGCTGGTATCCCGACGATGGGGGAGACGTCGCCGCCGGTGCCGGGGGTTGATACCCGTACGATGATGAGGTCGGGGGCGGGGGAGGCGATCTCGCTGCTGCCGGTGTCGGCGGAGGCGGGGGCTGGTAATCTCCCGTGGGAGCTGCTGGGGCTGGGGGGTTGTACTGGTAGCTCGAGGCGGAGGGGACAGGGGGCGGCGGCTGGTACCCTCCCTGGCTTGCGGCGGGCTGCTGTGGGAGCGGGCGACAAGGCGGGCGAAGGCAGAGATGCTAAAAATAATAAGTTACGGCCATGGTGACGGCAGCGTTGCCCACCATTCATGTACAGAGCAGTTGGGGCATGCATTTGGCGTGACTGAACCTACAGCTATAAGTTCCTCCATACATACACAACACATGTGTGACAACATGCTCACAAATAAATCGTCTCCAATTTCGTCTCCCAAAGTGCAAACCGCTACATTCCACGACGCCTACATCTGTAAACCGTACCGGCGGCGGCGGCGGCGGCTGGGACCTCGGCGCAGCCGGCGGGGCAGGGGGCTGGTAGCTCGGCACTACCTGTGGCGGCGGCGGCGGCGGCTGGGACCTCGGCACAGCCGGCGGTGCAGGGGGCTGGTAGCTCGGCACCGCCGGGGGCGGGGCCGGCGGCTGGGACCTCGGGACCGCCGGGGGGGGCGGTGGTTGATAGCTTGGCACCGCCGGCGGGGCGGGGGGCTGGTAGGCAGATGGCACCGGGGGGGGCGGCGGCGAGGGGCTCGGTATCAGCGACGGCCCCCGCGCCGCCGGCATCGAGTGCGCCAGCATCGGCCGGGCGCCGCCAGGGACCGGCGGGGGCGCGCTCATCGGCACGGGCGGCGGCGAGGATCCCGGCACGGCAGGGGGGCCCCGGCTTGGAACCGGCGGCGGCGGCGGGGACACCCCCGTCCGCGGGGGGCCGTAAGACGGCACCGGTGGCGGCGCTGCGGCGGGGATGGACGGAGGAGCGGAGCCGGGGATCGGCGGGGGGGCAGCAGACGGGACGGGTGGCGGCGGTGGTGCTGAACCTGGGAGTGGCGGGGGTGCTGACCCAGGGAGCGGCGGTGGCCCACGCCGGGGAGGCGGTGGTGGCGGCGGCGCCGACATGATGATGTTGCCTCGCGTTCGGTCTCTCGGCGGGCTGCGGCTGCTGCGACCTATGGGATGCCGCATGGAACGGAAAAGAGACGGCAATGGTAGGCGGGTAAACCGGCTTCGAAGGAGGAGCACCGGAAAGGGTTAAAAGAAGCTGTGTGCTTCCTCCTACTACGGTACATTTGTGGAAGGAGTTGCAGCATGCAAAAAGACTAAAACACGAAGAGACACGACGGGGCATACACAAGCTGGTGTCTGTGATGCCATCTCAGATGCACGACGCATCTTTACATGCATACAGCTGCTCTTGGCCCGAGGGTGCCCGGTGCCCGGTGCCCGGTGCCCGGTGCCCGGCGCCCGGTGAGGGCTGGGCACTTTTCGTTCTTTACGTATGGCACAACCAAATCATCTCCACAGATAAGAGTCTGGCATAGATCAGCAATAAATTCATAGCGTCAGCGGAAGCTACCTCTGTGCCTACGATTCCCCGAGCAGCAAACAACGATGTCTCCTTTGCAAGCTTTGCATCGTGCTGCGCGGAATACAACCAGGCGCCGCTGAAAAAAAACACTCAGGGACATCGCGCGTACACCACTATTGTGGCTACTGCTTTTGGTCTTGCAGACCAGAAAGAGTTTCTCGCTCCAAGACACGACGTCACAGCAGAGTCGTGTAGCTGACACCATCCGTACATATCTGCCTGCTGTCCCTCCTGCCCTTATGCGAGTCCCTCTCTGTTCTACACCATTTTGTTCGGACGAACCCTTCGTAGGGAGGGAGGTATGATGTGTTGCGCCATATGATCGAGAACAGCACCAAGGAAAGCGGACAGATGGTGTAATATCTCTCTCTCACCACTTCTGTCTTTTCCTGTCTTGTTGGCGCCTCTCACAACACGCGCGTGCTGGCTGTGGCAGTGTGCACTCTCGCTGCGATGCATGGATGAACATCCAGCAGACATCCCGCCGCGAACTTCCTACCCCCCCCCGCTAAAAGGGGCTCCGTGTCCAACAACGAGGGCGGTGCGGGAGTGCGTGCCCAGCACCAGCTGTCAAATAAATTGTCGTAGGGGGAGCGAGGAGCGCATAGTAACACCATGATTCGCGCAGTGTCGGGACCGGTAGCGGCTGTGGCGAGGGCGGGCCCCCTGCGCGCGATGGTGGCGTCAAGGGGCCTGTCTTCCTTGGTGCCTTTGGATGAGGAATACATGGGGTGAGTGCGGTGCGGTGTGCTTCTTGTGAGACCGCGACAGGGCGCGTTGCGACGACCAACGCGCTCGGTGCGCCAGCGGCGGGTGCACAAAATGCTGCCATTATTTCTGCTGACGCTTGTCCTGCTTCCTGTCTCGATGCACACAAGAAGCAGGGATAGTGGAGGTTGCGCAACGTGGTGCACCTGCCTCTTGGGGTATATACCAAGAAGTGCGTGAGCGTTTCAAGCCCCTTCGGGCGTGTTGCAAGGGAGGGTTCTGTCACGTCGTGTGGGTGTCTATGTTGGGGAGAGGATGCATTGCACTCCGGAGCAACCACGCTAGCACGCCAGTCCCGCGCCAATCGCGCGAATCTAGCATGCTCGGCACCAGCGGCAATGGGGCTGTTGGCGCCGTCGCACTGGGTGTGCACACCGTTCGAAGCACCACACGGGCATGCATACATCGTACTTCCAACTTGGTTTGAAACACATCGAAATCCACGCCCCCTCAGAGGGGTGGTACCTGGTACAGCAGTAGGGGGGCTGTTATGGTGCCGGTATGTTCCCAGATAGTTGACCGGTCCTGTACCGGACACTGGGCACTATTGGAGTACAGAATGACTTGGTGATTCAGTGTGGTGCCAGCCGAAAACGCCGGCACTTTACCGGGCCCCTTTCACCGCTGTACCTTGAATCATATAGCGTAGTGCGTGTCATGATTGCGTCACCTCCGTGCAGGGAGTGTAGCACCCTCTTACCCTCTCACCTTCTTGATGAGATTGCTGTACCCGTGCGGGTCGTGTGGTGCATTCCAACCGGTTTTTTGTCGGGTCTCTGGTGGCGGGGTGCTCCGTTGGTGTTGTCGAATGTGAAGCCGTTCTACGCCAGCACTGAATTCTAGGTACTCTTGTATGCAGTGGGCGCACACACACTCCAGGTAAGTTGTCGGGTGTAACACACACCAGGTACGTAGATGCCCCGCGCCTCGCCGCATGGTTACCTAATCCTGCTGTAGTTGCGCCGCCTAAACCTCTGCGCTAAACGGAGCCGCCATGCAGCACCAGCAGCAGTGCCCTAGAGCTGCAACGAAATTCCTCCGGTTCAAACCGCGCTCTTTCGAATATGATTACAGCACAGTTTGCACACCTGCTGCATGCGTGTACTACTTCAGACAGCCCCGTTTGCCGCTTGCGAAACAGGAGAGAGGAGGCATTGGTCTCGTAAATGCCGAGCGATTCGGCTCCGCTGTCCGCCACCTCATGGCACACGCATATCTAGTTATGATGTTTTCTGTCTACAGCTCCGAGAATCATCCACTCCCGAAAACCTACCCCCCCGGTTGATTAGGACCTGGAGTAAACTAAATATAAGGTCTCGTTTTGCTAGGGGACTGACTGCTGGTAATAACTAGTGCACGACATACGGTGTCACTCCCCGAAACTGATTGCCATTATCTATTTACCACCATGGGCGGTGTTCTTTAAGGTGTGTGTTGTGTGCCCTCTTTGCGTCGCCCCTCCGCGCTTAATCTGAGAGTAGCTTTGTGTGCTGGTAGCTCCTGGTATAGGTACCACTACAGGGTGTGGCAATTATGCCGTAGGAGGTGCGCTATCCGTTGTGGGTGTGACATCATGTGGCGCCACGGCAGTGCCCCTGGCATCATTCTTCGGTGGTTCATGCGTCGCTGTTATCGGGGGCCATCTACCCTTCGTTTGCACGACACATGGCGCACCTGATTGGAGGTCTCACATAGGGCGTTCCAAGCACTAAAGAACCCGAAATCAGACCGTTAGACTGGTCAGGGCTGACCAGTCTATGGTTTGACATCTGCTTCTATAAGAGTTAGTTTTGGGTTTGATTTCGGCTTCTGTAGCACTCTTATCAACCATTTCGACCCATCGAATCGGAGGAATATTAATGGACCACTGCTTTCCCATCAGTTTTCGACACCTTATATGGTAGCACGCAGCGTATCCCCTCAACTCCACCGCGTGAACCCCCCCCCCCCCCATAGTAGTGTTGGATT